ATAATATATGTTTTTTTTTTGTCTTTTTTCTTAGGCTATATCCTCTTTTCATAATAGCCTTGTTTTCAAATGGATCATATCCATTTTTCAATCATTCAAAAAAGACCGCTTACTTGCTTAGCATACATGGGCCTTAGCTACTTCTGCTACTCATTATTATGTATACATGTAGGCATAATTCTGCAGCCCAGCCCAAAGAAACTTTGCTTCAAAATTTAATAAATAATAAATAATAAAGAGTTAATACCATCTGAGATCCTCCGAGTATAGTGCTTTTGTCACATTTAGTCCTAAACTTTCAAATTGACCACCTATGGTACTTCGACTTTCAAATTGTTACCGTCCGTGGTCCAAGTTAATCATCTGTGGTCCTTCAACTATTAAATTTTAACCAACCATGGTCCTTTCAAGAGGACCACGGCTGGTTAAATTTCGAAAGTTGAAGGACCATGGGTAGTTAACTTGGACCACAAATAGTTAAATTTGAAAATCGAAGGACCACAGATGGTCATCAATTTGAAAATTTAGGACTAAATGTGACAAAACCACTATACTCGAAAGACCTCATGTGGCATTAACTCGAATAATAAAACTAATGTAATCGTGCATTTGTTTGTAAGCTCATTTTTAGTATTTTTATTTTAATTGTTATTAAAATTTAAATAAATTTTTAATAAACATATTAATAAATTTATTACAATATAAATTATTTTTATGAAATGAAAAATAATATTATATTTGTAAATATATTAATTATTTTTAGTTGAAATTTGGATTGATTAAATGTCATGTATAAGTTTATATAATTTTATGGTTTCCAACAATCCTGACTCAAAGATATATACAGAATGAGACACAATACTTTAAAATTGTTATCTGGTAGAGAGCAAAGTTTTCTTGTAAATCTTAGTAGTAGTATCATATTACATAGCTTATAGCAGAAGATGAGTTCAATGATACAATGAAACACAATTTTTTTAGCAATCTTAGCTTGGGACAGCTCAATCTTGAAACAGCTAAAATCCATATATAGCTTATATATGAACATTGATTTCCCTTCACAGTAATAATCCTCATCTATCTTCAGAAACTTAATTGATAATGGAGAAACGAATAGCTATCATTGGAGCTGGCATGAGTGGCCTTCTAGCCTGCAAATATGCAGTGCAGAAGGGCTTCAATCCAACAGTGTTTGAAGCCCAAAGTTCCATTGGAGGAGTTTGGACTCAAACCATTGAATCAACTAAGCTTCAGACTGCGAAACAAGCTTTCCACTTCACTGATTTCCCCTGGCCATCGTCTGTAAAGGATCATTGTCCTCCCGCCTCTGATGTCTTAAGGTATATCGAATTATATGCTGAGCATTTCGGGTTGCTGTCATACATAAACTTCAACTCCAAAGTCATTAGTATAGACTACGTTGGAGATTCCGATGAAGAAATGTTGTCTTGGGAGGTTTGGAGTGGAAATGGCAACCCTTTTGGGTCTAAAGGGAAATGGCAACCCTTTTGGGTCTAAAGGGAAATGGAAACTATTAGTGCAGCAACTTGATGATAACTCTTTAACAAAGGTCTGCTAGAAATATTTCATTAGAACATAAAACAATATATACCTAATTGCTTGGTTAATTTGATGGGGTTTTTTTTTTTCTTCATTTTAGGAGTTTGTTGTGGAGTTTGTGGTTTTGTGCTCAGGAAGATTCAGTGGTTTCCCTAACATCCCAGACTTCCCTTTAGGCCAAGGGCCAGAAGTTTTTGGTGGGAAGGTGATTCACTCCATGGAATATTCTGCAATGCACAATGCAAGTGCTGCAGAGCTGATCAAAGGGAAGAGAATTGCTGTCATTGGATCACAAAAATCTGCAGTGGATATTGCAGCTGAATGTGCAGATGCAAATGGTAACAAAAACTACTATAATTCATCTTAGGATCAAGCGTTTACCACTATGCTAAAAGCTATAGCTTGTACTAATCTGGCTCTGACACCACTTGTTAGATCAAGTGCTTACCACTTACGCCAAAGGCATAAGTGCAAAACTTTATTTCCTTATAGACCGCCATTTCATTTTCGGGAGGCAGGATGCTGGGCTTGGCCCTTCACCGGCCTCTGATCCGTCTAACAATCCTCTAGTCACCAATTGATGGATTTGGTCTTTTACTGGCCTCCGTCCAACAATTCACTAGTCCTCGAATCAACGGCTGAGATTCCTTCCATGACTCACTATCACACATACAACTTTAGGTGCCAAAAGTCCTTGCATCATGATTCAAAGGAGTGTGGATTGGATGCTTCCAAGTGCCTTCTTTTGGGGGGTCAGTTTTGGTTTACTGTATGGAAACCGATTCTCAGAGCTTTTGGTTCATAAGCCTGGTGAAACCATCATACACAGCATCTTAGCCACCCTGCTCTCACCTCTGGTAAGTTTCTTTAATATTTGAAGAAAAAGAAAGAACAAAAATCTTAATTTTAAGCTAATGATCGAGTTTGTGCAGAGATGGGGGATATCGAAATTGGTTGAGAGTTATCTGAGATGGAAACTTCCCCTGAAAGAGTACAGAATGATACCAAAACACAGTTTTCTCCAGCAGGCTTCATCTTGTAAGATCTTTTTCCTGCCTGAGAATTTCTATGGCAGAGTTGAAGAAGGAAGCATTGTTCTTAAGCAGTCCAAGGGGTTCTGTTTCTGTAAAGAAGGTCTCATGCTTGATGGTGAATCTGATCCCTTGAAGGCAGATATTGTCATTCTGGCCACAGGATATAAAGGCCAGGAAAAGCTCAGAAATATTTTCACCTCCCAAACCTTCCAAAACTACATAATGGGATCTTCTACTTCTACACTTCCTCTATACAGGTACCATCTTCCCATTGCTCATCACTACATTTATCCACGGCTGAAAATTATGGAATTTCCGATCACTTTAATAAAAGTGGTCGGAAATAACAACAAAGATTCTTTCGACTTTGATTTAAGATTACTTTCAGAAAATTCCATAATTTCCAGCAGTGATCTGTCATAAAATAAAACCACAAAAATTCTGTTATTTTAATTTGTAGGCAAATTATCCCACCAAGAATTCCACAACTGGCAATAGTAGGATATTCAGAGAGTTTCTCAAATCTGACAAGTTTAGAGATTAGGTGTCAATGGCTAGCACATCTTCTTTCCCATACTTTTAAACTGCCGAGTATAAAGGAAATGGAGAAGGATAATTCGATGTGGGAAAAATATATGAAGGAATATGCAGGAGGAGATTACAAAAGATCATGTATTGGTGCTGTTCATATATGGTATTGTGATCAACTGTGTAAAGATATTGGGTGTAATCCAAGAAGGAAGGGAGGCTTTTTCTCTGAACTATTTTTACCATATGGACCAGATGACTATGTGGGCCTTGCTCATTGCAAATAATGCTTTTTTTTTTTTTTTTTTTTTTTTCCTATAGATGTATAATTGTATATATAGACTTCATTATGGAATATTAAACTTTGATAATACATTTGCAACTCGAATTTCATAATCCCAATTTGTATTCTTGAGAAAAGTTAACATGCATGCATGTATTGTTTTTATATATTGTATATAATAAGATTACAAAATACATTTTATATAAAGTCAACTAAATATAAAACAATAAGCGAATTGAAATATGATTCGAGAGAGCATAAAAAGGTAGTAAAAAAAAAAGGCACATCCTTGAGGGAAGGTCACAAGATCGAACTCTGGTAGCGGGGTATTTACTTGACTCTTTAGGTTGCAATAATTAGAGAAAATATAGATCAGGTACTACCTTGTAATATAGTCAATAGTATTAAAAAAAGGATAAAAAAATGTTTTTATTATAATATTTAAAAAATAGCTGAACTCTTATTAAAACCAACTTTTGAAGTTGTAAGCTAAGTGAAATAACATTTGAGAAGAAAAATACTTAATAAAGTAGCAAATATCCCAACTAGTATTGTTAAGCGGGCTGAGCCGTCTCACCGCATACTAAATTTTGGCGGGCTTTAATTTTTTGGGTAGGCCTGCGAAGCCCGCGGGCTATTGTCAAGTAATCCTAACCCGTACCATACGGGTTGGTGGTCGCAATTTATATCGTAGACCAAGGTCTACATAGCATTGTGGACCCTGAATCTAAACGACGTACGTGGTACCGAATTCATACTCGCAAGATACAAAATTTAATAACATAAGACACATTTACATATTACGGAGTATATATTTAGTTATTTTTAAATATGATGATTTAAGTACAAAATTTGTGCTTATAGGCACAAAATTTCACTCCACAAGACACAAAAATTCATAACATAAGACACAACAAATAATTTATTACAGGCACAGAATTCATACTCTTAACGTACAAAATTTTATAACACAAGACAAAAAAACGCATAACATAAGACACATACACATACACTAAGGTGCATAATGCACTGTGAACAAAAAAAATATTTAAGGCCTTAAAAATATTTTCTTTTTCAAAAGTAATAGTACTCTATAAAAGATTAAAAGATATATATATTTTTTTGAAAACTAACAAAATAATGATTGTATTAATGAACCAAAGTTGCAATAAAGTCAATATAATTAATATATATTGTCCATTGAATTTGATCAAAATAATTATTGCTTTCACCGCACACTTCACCATCTTTTTCATTTTTATTTTCTTAAGAAATTAAATTAATAGAATTTTAAACAATATTTGTAATATACTTTTTTGAACAATAATTCTTTTTTATTATATTTTTAATGAAATCCTTTTTTTTTTTAGTAATATCTATCCACCGCCAAGAATTCATAAATTATGATTAGTCCCTTAAAATAGAGCATTATATAGTAGTTACGCTGTAGATATATGAGGCCATGTGGAGGAGTTTATAAAATTATTGTGTGCATGAGAAATTAAAAGAAAAAGAGCAATACAAAATTTGGATTAATATTTTAAGAATTTTGAACAGAACAAAAAGTGGGGGTTATAGGGACTTTGGCAGTTTGG